AAAAAAAAAAAACACGTGTATAGACATTTACTCTGAAAGTATTGTGTTCTTATGTCCTGAAAGATTGACATCTTCATCGTTTCTATTTTTTTTTCACGACACTTGGGAGAAGGGTTCGTGTTATCATGTACATGTGGAGGGATCCACTATAGGCTTTTATTAAGTCCAAGTGTTGGCAAAAAAAGTAACTAGGGAAGCCGAGTGTAGAGACAGTAGGATTTGAAGGGAGTTCTATTCCCACGCAATTATTTACTTGTGAAAGATTTATGAGCGAAACGGATGCTTTTTGAAGAAATTTTTATTTAAAGCACTTTCGCTATTGTTTCGTGCTTCTACATAAACGTTGTACTCGTGACCTCCCCCACACATTTTAATTGGCACCAGAACAGGTACCTGTTCTATCAAAGGTGAAAGACAGTGGACCGAACACTACAAGAAAATGATGAAATTCCAACGGAATTATATTCCAATAGAATTTCAACGACAATTTCAATGTATATTTCAATGTTATTATTTCCGTTGGAGTTATTCCAATGGAAATTCCAACAAAAATATTCTGTTGGAATGAGTTTTCCATTGGAATTTCCGTTAGATTTTGACGATTCCAACGGTAGATTTTCCAAAGGTGATGGAAATAGAAATTCCAACGGAAATTGCATATTCCAACGAAAATTCCTACGGTCAAAAGCCGTTGGAAATATAGACGTTGGAATCATCAAATTCCATCTAAAATTCCAATGAAAAATACATTCCAACGGAATATTTTCGTTGAAATCATTCCAACGGAAGCTATACCATTGGAATATCCGTTGGAATTTCCATTGGAATATATTACCATAGGATTTTCCATTGGAATATAGCATTTTTTTGTAGTGGAAGGACCGGGCAAAATGAATCCAAAATCCGGCTCAATGGCTCGACCCCTTTATCTGGTGGTGCAAATTATCTATATTGAAAATCCATGGTGATGATATTAACCTGCAGAATTGTTGAGATAGAATGGACACACCCTCGAATGACCAAAGCTCAAAAAGATGACAAGAACTGAGCTGGTGAAACCGAAACGGTGTTGGAACCTGGAGATTTATAAGATGACAAAGACAATGCTTACGAAGAAGCCAATTTTCGAGCACTCTACGCAATCCTGTTAATTGTTGATCTTACTCGTCATAATATGATTATTCAATGTACGACGGCAAAAAATGCAAGAAAGACAGTTGAAAGGTAGTTTGAAGGAACGAATTTGGAGAGAAACTCAAAACTTCAGTTTGAAGACCGTCGATCGACGTTAAATTTTTCTTTNNAAAATTAGTGTGCACAAAAATGGACACATTTTTTTTACCTTTTTTTTAAGACACAAAAATGGAAAGTTACAATGTGGATTGGATTTGAGTTAAAAAAAAAAATGGAATTGGATTTGGATTCTTTCTTTAAAACTGCCCGCTGAAAAATTACCTTTTGCATTTTGCCCCTTGTAGTTTATTAGTTATCTGAGATGATCCCATGTATTCACAATGATGTGAATTATATGTGTCATTTTCCATGAAATTATCACGTCTGTAAATGTAGAAACCTCTACTATTCATAATGCTACCTTAGTATTCACAAGACACTAATAAGCTCTTATGAATGGATTGAACAAGAACAATTAATTAATTTGATTAAAAGCGACTAACAGTTAAATTAACCACCACAAGGGACAAGCAAACTAGTACAAGTAATTAATAAAGCCAACTCAAACTCACCAACAGAACTAAATTAACGTAATAAATAATTAAAAAAACCATGCATCCTTTAGTCATACAGTAATAACGATGAAAACGCCCGAGAAAAGTCCAAAGCAGCAGAAAAACATCAAGGGTATGGCAAGACGCCGGCTCCAGCTCCGCCGCCAGCACCGCCACCTAAGCCGCCAAGATTCCCAATGCCGCCAAGATTCCCTATGCCACCAGCATCGCCACCTAAGCCGCCAAGGTTCCCAATGCCTCCAAGATTCCCTATGCCGCCAGCACCGCCGGACGGCAGAGTCCCAACACCACCTCCGATGCCGCCGAAACCATTCACCCCACCGAGACCACCGCCGCCGCCAACTCCGGCGCCGACGCCGCCGTACGGAATGCCGCCACTGCCGACGCCGGAGTAGCCACCGACGCCTCCGAAAGAGGCGAAGTTCTTCTGGTCGGCAAGGCCAGCATCGCCGGCCAAAGCCCTGGCCGCCGCCTGACGTCCGGCGAGAAGAGCGCAAAGGAACACCAAACTGAAAGCCCACCTCGCCATTATTATCTGTCTCACTAATGTGCTTTTCACTTTTTTCTCTTTCTTTTTTTCTTTTTTTTATTTGTTAAGTTTTGGTGCTCTGTAAGTTGATTGGGCTGTCCCTTTTTAAAGNGTTTTGTTTAAAAGTAAAGAATTTTGATTGCGGGAGGCCGAACAAATAATATGAATATTAATTTAACTATGAAAAAGTAAAATAAAAATATAAAATTTTATCATATATAAATGAAGATATATAAAATATTTTTTCAAAATAAAAACTAGACTAGAGGGGGCCTGTGCCCCGCTGGGGTCCCCTATATACAGCCAGGTCAGTCCTCGGACTCTGTTAGCTGTTGATCACCTCAAGGGAAACAGCTAATGTTACCATCTGCCAACAACGCATTAATGTTACCGCAGTAAAGTGTGCATTTACTAGGGTCAATTCGCAAAAGCTAATTTAGCGCTGTCGTTTTTCAAAGATTTATGTGAGGGGGGAATTTGTGAGTATGATTTTTTATATTTGGTATTCAAAATAGTCCATAATATTTTAAATTTTATTTTGCATTGTGATTGCATGATTGTCCTGCTGTGCTTAGTAGAATATACCTACGCCAAATTAAAACCATAAAATATCAAAAATTTTATTTCTCATAAAGGGTCTATGTTCTTTTCAATCATATATATACTGAATTTTAAAAATACAATATCTGCCCAACCAGCTTAATTTTATCATAAAATAAAATTTGTTGAGACCTTAAATTGATAATTAAAATCTAAAAGTGAGTTTCAAATTTAGAATACCTTTAAATTGAAAAAGATAAAAATTAAATTCAAGCTTATTTGACACAATTGCAAAACGCTGGCCTTATAATATATTTTTTCTTATGAAATTTGTAAAATTCTGGGCCGATTTATGCGTCCATAGTCCATACTTATTGCAAAATGAGCCCATATGTCAGCTCTTTCATTTTTTTTTCCTAATTCTTATTTTTCTTTCTTTTTTGGTACTTTTGTCAAAACCTACGAGTTGGGCTGCAATTGCTTAGGTGACAACGAAGCGCAACTTAGTGGTAAGACGCTCCACCTATAACTGATAAGTCATGGGTTCGAGTCACCGAGGAGGAAAAATGAGAATACTATTGATCTTCTTAAAAAGAAAAAAGACTGCAATTGCTTAGGGGATGCTTGGATATAAAATATAAATATATATATTCGAGAAATGAAGCTACTGAGAGTATTCACAATGTTTTGAGTTCATTCAAAAAAAAATAATATTATAAGCCACATAGAAAATAGATTCAATCTAAAAAAAATATATTCTTCAATGCAAGCAAGTGGACTGAGTCTTGATAATGTGGCATGCGAGTGCTGAATCGCCCGTACCTGCCATGTCCGCGACCAACGAGGTATTCTAGATGCACGCGAGTCCTCGCCCTGCCAGCGCGCAACACTCGCTAGCGACTATTCGTCTGCCAGGCCGTGAGTGTCACCGAGACAGTCCCAGCAATCGCCCGCGAACACCAACTCGCTAGGTCGCGAGTTCTCAGCGCAAGACCTAGCATTGCCCGCCAACTTCAATCTACAACTGCGTAAATCGAGCTCCAGTATTTATTGTGTTTTTGTGTTTATTTTCGTCTGTTTTATGTATTTTAGTTTAATATTTTAGGTTCATTTTTGTGTCAACCGATCCATTTTGTCGTGTTTTATGTGTTTTTGTTCTTGTTGTTCATTTTTATGTTTTGTCGTACTTTCTTGCGGCTTTGGTGATTGATTAGGTCCACCATGTTCAAGTTTGAGGAGACGAGCTCTTTCCGAATTATTTTCGAGTATCCCGAACCATAGCCTAGTGATCGGTCGAGCCACCCGAACTATTCCCGAGTCAAGATGTGCGCTTGAGCACTCGCAGCCAATTTCGTTTCGCGACAAGCCAAGCACCCAAGGAACCAAGCCTAGCACTCGCCGCGAAATCCTGCTCGCGACCTGCCAAGTGCCGCGTCTATAGCACCCCAGCCTTGCCCAGCAACTCGCTGCGGAAGTCCACTCGCGAGCCGCGAAGTGCACACCTTCAGCGCCAAACTCGCAGCGAAGGACAACTGGCGCCCCACGAGATGGCTACCTCGCGCCACAAACAGCCCACACTCGCTGCCAACATGCATTCGCTCCCCGCGAAGCGGCAAGCCCCAGCCAGGATCCTGAGCACTCGCAGCAAGTTCACACTCGCGTCCCGCCAAGCGCCACCCAGCCCACACCCTAGCCTACACTCGCGGCGAAAATGTTTTGGCGGCCAGCGAACGTACCTTTCAGTGCATTTTCACTCCAAAACTCGCTGTGAACTAGAATTCGAGACATGCGAGCTGTAGATTAGTAAATGTGTGTGCACCTAGTGTGTGTGCTTATATTGCACTATAAAAATTTTTTGGCCTTTTGTATTTTGGCATCAAGATTTCATTTCTCACTTTACTACTTTAGGAATTAAGCTTTTCTCTTTATTTTTCTCTCTTCTCTCTCTTGAGAGCTTTATGACATCATTTTCCGGCGACTCTTATTTTGTTCAAATTTCGAGCTTTTGACTCCGATTTTTATCTAGCACGCAATAGAAGATTGGGTATTTACTTTTAAAGCTCATTACTTCAATTTTTGCCTCGTTTTTACTTATGATGATTATGAAGGTGAATTTGGGGTGTTTGCTTGATAATGGAGGGAATGTTTGGACTTGATCATTGCTCTTGTTTGTTTTAGTAGAGATTAATTACTTGCCTATCTAGATTAAGGGTTAAGACTCTATTTAGAGCTTAATAACTTAGGTTAGAAGGTTAGGGTTAGTGACCTTGTGCTTAAGACTTGCTTATTTCTCTTGGTTGAGTTTGTTCGGTTGTGATGGCATAGATACTCTGGTAGTGTTAATTGTGTTATTCTCTAGTTTACTTGTTGCTTTTTTTATTCCGAGCATCGATTAGCATTAATTAACTTTTCAACCCATTAATTAGCATGTTTCACTTTTATTTTCTCATTTTGTGTGATTTGGACAATTGAGTGTTGAACAAAGCTACGAACCGTCTTCCTTTGAGACGACTCGAGGTCGGGTAGCTCGGTTACCAACTACTCACAAAATACTACAAAACACCCAGCTACCAACCTTGCACGTAATGCTTGTTAAAAATTTAAGTGACGATTACACTGGATTCCTATAAATTAAATTGTTCGTTTTCTTATAAAATAACTAAAAATAGAAAAAAATTAGAAGGTTAAGCAGAAAAATTAAAGTTAATGCGAGAAGATCTCTTTTCGCGAGATAAATATGACCCGTAAAATGCTGACGGGTTTACGCCTCTTTTTTCCCAAAGATACAATGGCAATCATCTCGAAGACTATAGCACACCAGTCTTTCGAGCTCCGACGAACTAGAACAAAGTCGAGAACTTAGCAATATGTGATGTTGCTTGAGGGGCTATTAGAGAATCAAGTACATATATATGATGAATGTTGTGTATATCTCCAACTCTACACATGTTCGATATATATGACTTCCACCCACTTGTCAAGTGCCTATAACAGCCAACTAATGGTTGTTGTAATGGACTCAAAAAGGTCAGGCCGTTTTCAGGTGTTAACACGCCACTTATCCACCTGACAATTTTCAAAATAGTCAGGTAGAGTCATCATGTCTTTGGTGAAGGCCACATAAGTTGAATCTAAACCTATTTAAAACCCAACTCAGTTTGGGTCAGACCTTGCAAATATTTTTGCAACAAAAATGATATAGTGGTTGGGCCCAAGCACTGACCCAACACCAGCCCAACTCAGTTCTAAAACCCAACACCGTCCCAACCAGTCCATGGCCTTCAAGTCCAGTCCACAGTCCAATTGTCAAGGACCAAGGTCAAAGATCCAAGTCCATGTCTAAGTCTCTGGCCCGAGCCTAGTCAGAAGGCGGGCTGGCGCACGTGTGGTCAAAGCCAACACGTTCCATAGCTTTACTTGTTGTTGTGACCTCTAGATATCCAACTTTTTTATAGAGATATATCTAATTTACAAGTTCAATGTGAGTTAAGTTTTTTCACTTCGAATCTCACAACCAACAATTTTCGTGACTATTAATGATGACCTTTAATTATTTATTTCTCTTTTGTAGGAATCGAGGGTAGAAATGGGTGCGGTCCCACGCAGATGAAGCGCACCAACAAGAAAAATTCAAATGAAGTTTAAGTGAGGTTCCATCCCAAAACTAATTGGTGAAGGATGAGAGGCCCAATAGACTGATAAATTAGACCTATTTTCATTGTGTAAACGATGTGAGACAACTCAGAAGTGGTATTATATTCTAACACGCCCATCACTTGTGAGTCTGAGCTGGGTGCCCAAGCCCGACTGGGCTGAAAAACAGATACGTCATCGCATAGTCCCACATAGAACCGACTCTAATACCATGTAAGAATCAGGGATAGAAACGAGTGCGATCCCATGCAGATGAAGCACACCAACAGGGAAAACCCAAATGAACTTCAAGTGAAGTTTCATCCCAAAACCAATTGATGGAAGGAGGAGAGACTCACTAGACTTATAAAGTAGGCATATTTTCCGCAGGGGCGCCGTAGCCAGAATTTTTTTTGACTCGGAGCTGCATATTATTGTAGCTATTATTGGAACCGGGTAGACATGGTCATGGGCCGACCCAGCCTGTCGGTTCGGGCCGAACCGACACAAACTGACCCGTTGACCATGGGTCTTGAACCGACCCGTGGTTTTGACCAGTTCGGTTCATGTACAATAATTTATAGTTTATGCATTTTGAATTGGCAGTTTCGGTTTCGATCTAGAACCAGAACCCGAGGTTTGATTTTTTTTAAAAAAAAATATGTATCAATTTTTAATTTTTTTTAATGAACCAGACGACCAACAACTGACAGTTCAATGAACCGGCCCGTGCATATGTTCGCACCGGTTCAGGGTCCTCCAACTCTCGCGTCGGGATCGTCGATTTCGACCCGTAACCAGTTTATCATGACTAGAACCGAATTATCTGATAGCACATGTCGGTTTTAATTTAAAAAACTCAATTTCGACTCGCTTATATATTTAAACAAGTCAAACCCAAATAGCTAATCGAACTTGTCGATCAAACAAATAGAGAGTTTTTTCTTTGTCTAGGAAATGAGGCCGAATTAATTATTGGAGGCAAAATTAACAAACAAAATAATAAATGAAAACAGATAACGGATTGTGCAATGAGACAAACCCAATTAAATAGCCCGTAGGAGAAGTGTGTGTCAAGCTTAATTATCAAGCTCATTTGGTACTTGTCAAGTCAACCTATTAAAAGATTAAAAAGTAAGAGTGTGTTGGGCTGCATTATAAACGCAATTGATAAAAATCTAATAAGGACACAATTGTCGTTTGACAATAAAGGATTATTTTTTTTTACTCTCACTGCGATTATCACTTTCTTTAATTGTTGTCATATTAAAAATTTCGACCTGAATCTTGAGACATCCAACCTGAAATTAAATGAAGCTACATGAAAAATTACATGGGGCTAATGGAGCTTATGTATAATTTTTTTTTAAAAAAATACGGTTAGCATTTTTTTTTTTGGACATGAGGATGGAGCCCACCCTAACCCTAGAATGACTCTGCCCTTGATTTTCCCTGTATAAACGATGTGGACAATTAACAAGTAATATTATATTCTAATATATTTCATCTAAAATCGGTTATTGAACAAATCGAAAATCAGTTTTTGAAAATAAATGTACAACGCGTGTAAACTTGAAAAATAAAAATTTACTATATAATTTATGAATTAAATTTTTAGTCATAAAAAATTCAGTTAAACTCGAGTCCCTCTATTTACATTACATTATTATCCCACGTGGATAATAACCGTCCACGTGTACACGTTCACGTGAACCCATCAACACTCGCACAAGAACCGCATGAAAAACGCAGGACATTTTTAATCTGGCAGTAAAAAATTCAGCGTGCCCTTATTTCACTGGCTATTTTTGGCATCGACAAAAAAATAAAAAAATTAAAAAAATGACGAGAATATTGAAACAGATTGGTATTGTATTTATTGGTCGATGCATAAAGAAAAAAGAAAACGAGACTGTGCGCTGAGAAAAGAAAAATTGTTTGTTTATTTAACGTCAGAAAAAAAAAATTAAAAGAAGCGAAAATGAAATCAGACACGTAGGGGAGAAATGAAGGATGGCTCGCCGTTTGATAGACGAATGGGACAAAGCTAAGCCTCAATCGGTCGAATCCCTATCTTTCCATGTGATGTATGGTTGAATTATCTGTGAACCGCCTTAAATCACGAATCGGGTCAATATACCTAACTTGATTGCAATACATTTAAATGCTCAAATCATACATTATATCAGTTAATCGCTAAAAATACTTTATAGTCCACACAACATGTTTTTCTATAATCGATGAATAAACAACATATTATCCAACTGAGTTGAAATATTTTAGAAATGTAAGTCAAATCTATATATATAATTGCTAGTAAATTAAGCATTTAAAAAAATTATTTTTGATTTCCGCCTTTTTCCATTACAATTATATGTTATTATTATTATTATTATCATTATCATTATCATTATTTTGACATTAATCCACCATATTTTTTTTAATGTTAAAATATATTTTTTTTCAATTCTTTGCTATTTTTTAGGTTAATTAAGACAAAGATCGTATATTATATGTTAATTGAGTACTAATTACATTTTTTATTCTATCATATAATATAAATGAAAAAAATTAACTAATTATATTACAATAAATGATATATGAAAGTTACATAAACATGAAAAAATATATTATAAAACTTTTTGACCAATTTATTTATTCTAAAATCAACATGGTAAGTTTTCAACTATAAAAATATTACATTTCATATATCAAAATTACAAAAAAAAATAATAATAAAAATAAAAATAAAAAATTATTTAACACATTTTATGTAATCAATAAAAAGATTCACATGTAAATTGTAACTAAATAGTTATGTAATTTTTATTTTAACCAATTATTATTTTTTTAAAAAATATAATACAATTATCTAACAATCTTAATATTATATGCATTAAATAACTTATAATACTTTATTTATATTTGTGCCCAAGATCGAATACTAGTTTTGGTTTAATCAGCTAATATAACTGAACTCGAGTTAAATATAGGTGAACCGTGCAATTTTAACATACATATATGCCTTTCCCTATATATTAATTCAAAATGTGTTGAGCCTACGTGACAGACTCGCATGCTTCAAATGCTGACATGACAAAATTTTATGCTTCGTAGTTTGGTTTGTATAAGTATTTTTGCTTTGGAATCAGTTTTGGTACTTGACATAAATAGTTTATTTACAATTTTGATAATTATGCATTTATGTTTGTTCCTTATTATTTTTTCTCAAATCAAATCTTACAATACGAACCAGCTCATTTATTTAATTTATTAAACACCATGATTTGTTTTTAGTATATTTTAAAAGTTAATAAATTTTTATATGTATTTCAATTTTTCATATATGATTTTATCAAATTAATCATCTTCTGACGATCTTCGATTTGACGTCCATATCACATATACAAATTTAAAATTAATTTCAACTATTTTTATAAATAAAAATTAAATTTCTTTATCAAAACCAAATTAAAAATGGGCACATGAAAATGGAACTATATATTATCTTCATAAATAAAAAAATATGTAGATAAATATACGCTAAAACATTTTTTGTATACCTATAGAATAAATATGAGTAAAATTCTAAAACTTATGTCTTCACTTAAACAAAGTATACAAAGGATTGGATGTCACTGTAGTGTTGAAAATAAAAACAAAAATCTAAGTAAATATAGAATTTAAAATAATATAGTTATTAATCATGCCAAAATCTTAAGAAAACGTGAGAAAAGAATTCCGTCAAACAGATATGTTATAAACATAAATATTTTATGTTATAAGTCTAAAATAATTAACTACCTAAAAAATATTTACCTACAAAATTCAAAGGAATTTACCTACAAAATATTGTATGAACATAAATTTATAAGTCTAAAATAATTAACTACCTACCATTTAATATTTAAGTGATATTTTTATGTTATCACGATATTACTAATAAATACAAAAGATATTTACGAAATACTTTTTATATTATGTAAAATAATATTTATTACATATATTGCATATATATATAATACTATTTGTTTCAACTACTATTAGATTTAATTTTTATGTACAAAATTTAAGATAAATTTTTTTTTATAAAATTCAGGCAAGAAGCATATGAATACTTATAATTATTTGAATTTGTAAAGTATAAATTATGAAAATTAGATAAATAATTTAAATTAAAATTTTTAATAAAAAATAAAATAAATTTTTATAAAAATAAAAACTTGTCGTATTTGTTTTAAAAAATAAGTCACAACTGACAAACACGTGTTAATCATATGGGTTTTATTGGTTTTCGGTAAACTAAAAAAATATTAATTGAAACATTAAACTATTATTAATTAAATTTAATTTTAAATAGTCAAGACATTGTGTCTAAAATAAGTGTATTATAGTTAGTTCCAAATTTTATCTTCAATGTCAATTACATTTATTCGACCTCCATTAGACAGTACCAATTATATTATGCCAACATCAATTTTTCAATATCAATGATAAAGTATTGGAGATGCTATTACTCTATTAATTATTCCTTATCTATTGTACATGCAATTTCACTGTAATTAAATACTTTTATACATTTAAGTTTTATTATACAATTTTTTTTTCTTTCTAAATAACCGTATAGTACACGGTGTTGTACTAGTACGTTATTATATGTGTAGCATGTATGCTTGTATGCATGTAGCATGGCTGCAATTGGAGGATACAGTTATGTGTTATGTAGGCATGCATGGAGGAGAGAGAATTGAGCTGCTATGGGGTTTGCGAAAAATTATTGCGATCCATTATTATTGAAGATTATCTGTTGGGTTTTGAGTTATTTTTTTTTGTTTTCAAATGAAAAAAATAAGAGGAAAAGAAATAAAAAGGCTGAGGCACCGCTAGGGTTCACCATTGAGGTGAGAACGTATGGCTTTTGAGGCATATAATCCGGAGAGAGAAAGTTAGAATAGCACGAGGTTTTGTATCTCTTTTGGTTGTTTCTTACACACTCTCTCTCTTTCTTAGGAGTTGAAAATTAAAAACCACTCACAGATCTCTCATAAATTAAATGCTGAAAATTTTGAAAATTTTGAAAAAAAAAGTTGGGTAAATGGCCAGATTTTTGTTTTCTCTCTCTTACTTAAGAACAAAACTCCAGTAAGGAAACGATTTGAACTTATCTGTAACCAAAAAAACCCCCCAACAAAAAACAAAAGCGTAAAATAAAAAAAGAAAAAAGAAAACTGAAACTTCCCATACAGTTCCAGAACATTCATGGTGGTGGTGGTTGGGTTTTTTACTTTTTTCAGACGGATTTAAATTTTGGTGCCTCTTAACTATCAAACTCACCTTCAACATTTGTTTTTAGGGTTTCCTATTTTCCCTTGTCACAATTTCTTCCTGATCTGAATAGCCTAAATTCTTAAATTTTGAGTTGGAGATTTTGTGAAACAAAGTGGCCTTTTTTGGATGTTGATTGATTGATTGATTTTGGTGTGGCCAAGTTGTGCTTTCTTATTTTCCTTATTAAAATTGAAAAAGGCAAGAAGAGAGCCCAAATGGTTTATGTTGGCCAACTTGCATTCGAGGATCCTCCAAACTTGTTTCCTTAATCACTCACAAAAGAGATCTATTTTCTTTCCCTTTTTCTTCACTACTATCCGTACGCTCTGTGTGTATTTAACTCCCCTTGTTCCCTTTTTTTCTGCTATCACAATTTCACTTGAATTAATTACTCTTTTTTCTTCAAAAGAAGAAAAGGTTTGTAAAGATGACCAACGGTACTGACACCGCAAACCAAGATCCCCATTCCGCCGGTGGAGATTCTCCGCCGGCGCCGGCGCCGGCCGATCCTGATGGCGGCGGCGAGAAACCTACAGTTGCCGATGCTGACGTTGCGGAGATGAAGGCCGCCGATCCCGAGAATCCTCCTGTTAACCCCACCACGATGGAAGCCGTGGCTGGCAACGAGAACCCCACCACCGTTGATGCCGCCATGCATATGGTGGAGACAGCCATGGAGGAAGACCAAGACCAAGACCATGACGTGGTGGAGATGAGCGAAGCCAACATATGGCCCGACGAAGACGGCGGTGAGGACGACGGCCTCCTCGACTCCTCCATCTTCTACCCGGAATTCCCGCCCTTGCCGGACTTCCCCTGCATGTCCTCCTCCTCCTCTTCCTCCCCTTCCGCCCCCTCCTCCGCCGGCTCCTCCTCCCCAGTCGTCTCCTGGCCAATGATCAGACCCCATCCCGAGGGCCTCCGCACCGCCCTCTCCTCCACCGCCTCCATGGACATGCCGATGCCCCCTCCCCCTCCCCCCAACAATCAAGACAACAACCAGCTCGGCATNCTTCGTCAGCTTCATCCACAGCAACGCCGAGCTGGCACTCATCTTCTTCGAGTGGCTCAAGCAGAATCGCGACTACATCTCCGCCGACGACATGAGGAGCATCAAGCTGAGGAGGTCCACCATCGAGAGCGCCACCAAGCGCCTCGGCACCAACAACCAAGGCAAAAAGCAGCTCTTAAAGCTCATTCTCCAGTGGGTCGAGCAGTACCGTCTCCACAAAACACGGGCCCCCGTCCAAAACCCCCCCAACCCTAACCTCAATTACACCGGCTACCCACACCCGATACCCGGTTACAATAACCCCATCCATCTCGTTCCCCAGGTCGTGAATGGGTACCCGACTGACTATCCGTGGGCCATGCCGCCGCCACCTGTGATGCCTATACACCCGCACTACCCGGAAAATGTCAACAGTAGTAACCATCAGCCAGTGGTGTATGGGAGCAATCCGTACAGTCGACTGTACGATTCATCAAGTGCCATCAAGTTGGGCTCTTTGGCTACCAAGGAGGCCAGGAAGAAGAGGATGGCTCGTCAGAGGAGGATGTATGCGAATCACCACCACCGCCATGCGGGTGGTGGTGGGTCGAGCCAGCACCATAGCCATTCAGCTGATAGTACTCATGGTGAGGGTGATGAGGGTGAGTATTGGATGACAGGTGGCGGCTCGTCGGATCATGTTGATGGGGGACAGGCTGGCAAGTTGACTGGTCTTGACAGGCGGCAACAACAGGTTGGAATATATATGGATGGATGGTTCTTATTTTTTTAATTAATTTCTTGATTTATTATGGTCAATTGAGATTTTTTTTTGTATTTGGGTGTGTAGGGTTTGAAGGTGGAGAAGAACTTGAAGTTTTTGCTGCAGAAAGTGTTGAAGCAAAGTGATGTTGGTAATCTGGGAAGGATAGTGCTGCCAAAAGTAATTTTCATAAATTTTTAATTTCTTGGATTGGGTTGTTTAATTGTATAGACTTCAATTTGGATTTAATTTAGATTAATATACATTATGATCTAAACTAAAGGTGCGATTGTTCAAAACAGAAAGAGGCCGAGAGCCATCTTCCTGAACTGGAGACGAGGGACGGTATCACGATTGCGATGGAAGACATCGGAACTTCGCGAGTTTGGAACATGCGTTACAGGTAGGAATAATTTAGTAATGTAATCTCATTTGAAGTTGCTAGCTAGTGAAGTTCACGATATTGGTATTGACTATACTATATTGGAAATGCCCTAATTGGTGGTTTATCGTGTCAATTTCTGTGCCAAATTGCATAAAATTGTGTGCCCATTCCTGGTCAAAAAATGGACTATATCTCTGAATTTTATAATGATATTGGAATTATTGAAAACTTGAGATTTTATTTCTTAAGGATTCAATTTAGATCTGGTCCAATTTTCCCCTTCTTTTCACATTTTCCATTTTATAAACTATATGATTGGGTATTTCAGGTTTTGGCCTAATAACAAAAGCAGAATGTACCTTCTTGAGAACACAGGTAATTAATTGACTACGAGGATTAGTTAGTGGTAAAATTGGTTATAGTTTGTGAATTGTGCCGTTCTAATTACATTACATTACATACATTCATTATGTTCCTTTAGGGGATTTTGTGAGGCTCAATGGACTTCAGGAAGGAGATTTTATCGTGATCTACTCGGACACAAAATGCGGCAAATACGTAAGACCCATAATGCTTTGTCCTCGATCACGCCTTAAATACATGAATCGGTTACACCAAACAATTGAATAACTATTGCTTGTCTTGTTCGCTTTACTCAGATGATTCGAGGTGTTAAAGTGCGAGAGCCCGGCACAAAACCAGAGCGAAAAAAGCCAGTAAATAAGAACATACGCAATTTCTCACTTGCCGGTCGTAAGAATCCCCCACTTGCACCTCTCAAGCTAGCCATAAAGTGAAAAAATACAAACCGAAGAAAACGTGGGCCCTCAATGGTGAATCGGATGACATTTATATGGGCGGCTTTTGCTCGTTTTTCGTGCTTCGTTAAGTTTCTTATATATGAAGATGAAATGCCGAGTTCCGACAGGTCACATTATTATATATTTATATGTATACCGTCGTTAAGAGGGGCGTAATATTTACTTGGTTGATGAATTCGGAAGGGTGCTTTTCGTCGAGGGTCAAAGCTAAGTGCATAAGTAGATGTTATTGACTAATGTATTTACTATTAGTAGAAACTGAGTGTGATCTATGTAATGTTGTGAGTGTAAGATGTTTGTGTTTATCATGTTGTGTGACAATAAGGGATAGCTGACTATATCCTAAAGTATTATATGTATCCTAAACTACTTGTTATTATCGATGTGTTTGTTGTTGTATTTTGTAACTAAGCCTTCTCTCGTNTTGATAAAATTCCTCATTTTGAAATTTATGATTCTTTTTACATGGGCCACAGTCAATCTTTTTTGAAAAACTAAAATCGGATGTTGGGTTTGAGGAAATGATGTTTTCTCATTATAATAATGAAATTATTGTATTGTGTCAGATGCTACGCTTTTGAAGGACAATAATTTTTAACACAATGGGTCAATTGAAAGTAAATTATAAGGACAATAATTTTTGACACAATGGGTCAATTGAAAGTAAATTATAAATATTGAAGGACAATATTTTTTAACACAATGGGTCAATTGAAAGTAAATTATAAATATTGAGTATATTTATGGATATTTCAGGTTTGTTATTTTTTGATTGTAAGTAAATTATAATCTATCCAACCAAATGAGAAGGTATGAGAATTTGTCACATAAAATCTCAAGAATGGAAGTCTGTCACTCAGGCTCGTCACATTAAAGTATTTTATATAGGAGATTTATTTTGAAAATTTATGCTATATGCAGTTGACGACATTTCCAAGAATAGAAACTAGAAGGTTTAATTAGTAGTTGAACTCCCATGGGACTCCCTATAAAGGAAGGAAAAGCAAGTCTCTAATCTGCCCTACGGTACAAATTTGCCCTACGGTACAAACGAAGTGAAGTCATAGAAATTTTGAGTAAGAGGCTCGATGTAATTGGGTCAATTGACCCTTGTCTTTCACTTTCCTACTCGGAAGTGAACCGGATAAACCACTTAGACTAAAGCGGGGTAACTTTCTTATTTACTGCTAGATTGATTTGATTCCTTCCAAAGCTGGGCTAGATTGGGTGGATTGGTTT